CCTGACCTTCAAGGAGTTTCTTTCAACATTCCACTTCTGAGAATCATATTTTCTCTTTATCTTATTAAAGTTCCCTTCTAGTCTTAATGCTAGAGTATTTAGCATAAGTGGGTACATAATTTTTTCAAGTGCTTTTCTATGTCTTTTACCATAATTCTGTTTATTCCCTCAAAATATTCAAGTGGTGAAAAATTATAATTTGATTTCTAGTATTAAATCAATCTACCATTACTGAGACAAACCCAACATGAAGCATTTTCTTTGCTGAGAGAGCCACTGCTCCATTTTATCTGTTAGTATATGGTATAGCATTGTGTACCTGTGTTTGTAATTGAGATTAGATTCTAGTTTTCTTTTTGTATGCTATCCTGAATTCTGAAGTAATCCCTCCTGCTTATTCTCTGGAAGAGCTGATATAATATTGGAATTCTTTAATCCTTAAAACTTTGATTTAAATCTTCTATAGAGGCATCAGAGCTTGTAATTTTCTTGATGGGAAAATTGTAAGCTATAATTTCTTTAATGGTTATAAGAATATTAAGATTGTCCATTCCTCACAAGTAATATTTTCTAGAAATGTATCAGTATCATCCAAACCATCAAATTATTGGAATAAAGCTTTTAATATTCTCTTACCTGTTCAATCTCTGTCAAGTCTATAATAAGCTCCCCATTTCATTTTTATTCATTTATTTGCAGTTTTATTTATACCTTCTGATTCCTTTCTTGGACAGCCTTGTGAAATATTGACAAAGAACCTCATTATAAAACCATTGATTGTATTTATTATAGCTTGATTTTTTATTTCAGTAAGTTTATTATTATTATTATTATTATTGGGTCCAGTCGTGGGGCCTGAACTCTGGGCCTGGGCGCTGTCCCTCAGCTCTTCAGCTCAAGGCTAGTGCTCTACCACTTGAGCCACAGCGCCACTTCCGGCTTTTTCCTTTTTTCTCTTATATGGTGCTGAGGAATCGAACCCAGGGCCTCATGCATGCAAGGCAAGCGCTCTACCACTGAGCCACCTTCCCCCCAAGTTTATTATTTTTATGTTCATTATTTCCACTTGCTATTTTCTTTGGATTCATTTCCTATTCTTTGGCTAACTTTAAGAAGTATGCTTTATTAATTTTCAACACTCTGCCCTTTTGAATGTTAGCATTTAAAAGTTACAAATTCCTTTCTACAGACAAGTTTACCTACATTTTTACAATTTTAAGATGTAATATTTTTATAATAATGTAGTTCTGTTTTAATGTCTATCATTGTGGCCTTAGATATTTTTATATGTCTACCTGTGGCATTTTTCTCATGTTATTGTTCCTAATTTTTAACTAATTTGCACTGTGGCCAGAATTTGCACTATGTTCCGTAGCAAGTTTCTAAAGTATGTTGTCATTTGCTTTCCATACTCTAGTCAATCTTTATAAATCTTCTATGTACATTTGATAAGTCCCATATTTTATCTATATTGGGTGTAATATGATGTTCATGTCTCTGTTCAAGCTTATTATCTATTCTATTTAAATCTGCTAAATCCTGACTTCACTTTAAAATCTTCTTGATTTACCAATTACTGAGATATTTTTGTCAAGTTTTCCACTTTGACATTATGCTGTCAATTTCTCCTTGTAATATTTTTGTCCCATTTGTTTTGATGCAATATTATATAAGCATATAAATTTTAACTTTTTATGTCTTCCTGGAAAACTGAATATTTAAATATTAAAGATTGTTTCATATCTTTGGCTATATACCTTGTAGGAAAGCCTGGAGTTTTTATATTAATATAGTTAAATCAATTTTCTTTTGTGTGACAGTTGTCTGTCTCTTTTAATCCATTGGCTTTCAACCTCATTGTGCAATTACATTGAGAGTTTTACAATCAGCATCAAACTGAGTGCTTATCTGCTGTAATGATATTTTATCTTTAATTGGAAGTTTTTGCATTAGCATTCAGTGTTCTATAAATACAGTTAATTTTACTATTTTATTATATGCTTTGTTTGTTTTCTTTGCTCCTTGCTTTCTTTGGATTGAATATTTTTATTTTCCTTTTTCTTATTGCATTTTTCCCTCAGCTAGTTCAAACACTGCATTGTGTAGTTCTACCATTCTAATGGTCATCACGCCTGTTTTTATAAGCATCCTTAAAATGAATACATGTATCAGCAATTTTACTCGCCTTAGAACCAATACAAACAGAGCTCTGTTGCCACTCTTCATTCATCATACCCATTCATTCATTCATTCATTCATTTCACTCTCAGTAAATGAAAATTAGAACAATTTTCTCTATTATGTGTTTAACCCCATAGTACTTTATTTAAATTTGTATATTTTTGTTTCAGTGCTAGGAACCCAAGATCTTGTGCATACTAGGCAAACACAAAACCATTGAGCAAAAGCACTGGGCTTTTCTTTCTTGTTCTAATGGTTATTTACATTTGCCAGCCTATTTATGCCTTGCTTACCTTCTCTTTCTGCTACAGATATTGTTACTGAGGTATATCCCTTTTCAAAGTTCCTTTTGTAAAAGATGAGAATTCATCTTCAGTCTTTGCCTGATATGTATTTATTTCACTTCTGTTCTTAAATTTTTATTTAAGAAGAGAATTTTTATTTAATGGAAGAGAATGCTAGGGAACAAATTTCTTTGATTATTAAAAATATTCTTCCATTATGTCTTGGCTTCCATTTTTACTATTAACTAGTTAGTTAACAACCCACTTATTTTATAATCATTTCAGACTTAACCAAAAAATTACAAAGGCATCTGGGTTGGTTTCATATCTTAGCTATAGTAAATAATGCTGCAATAAACATAGTTGTGCTGGTAGCTTTAGTGTGGTCTTGTTTGTAAACATTTGGGTAAATGCCAAAAGTGGGATTGCTGGGTCATAGGGGAGCTCTATGTGGAGTCTTTTGAGCAACCTCCATACTGCTTTCCAAAGTGGTTGAACAAGTTTACACTCCCACCAACAATGAAGTAAGGTTCCCTTCTGTCCACATCCCCTCCAGCATCTGTTGTTCTTAGAGTTCTTGATTTTTGCCATTCTAACTGGGGTGAAGTGGTATCTCAATGTTTTTCTGATTAGCATTTCTTTTATGGCTAGGGAGGTTTAGCGTTTCTTCATGTGTCTACTGGTCATCCTTCTTTTCTCTTCAGAGAAATTCCTCTTTAAATCTTTAGCCCACTTATTTATTGGGCAGTTGTTTCTTTGAAGATTTGTTGTTGGGGGATTTAATTTTTTGAGTTACAAGTATATTTTAGATATTAGACCCTTGTCTGTTGTATGGCTAGTAAAGATCTTCTCCCAATCCGTGGGCTTTCTATTGATCTTGCTAGCTATGTTCTTTGCCATGCAGAAACTCTGCAATTTCATGCAATCCCATTTGTCCAACCTTTCTTTGATTTGTTGTCTTTCTGGGTTTCTATTAAGAAAATTTCGGCCTGCGCCAAGGAGACCTAGGGTTTCTCCTATTCCATCCTGTAATGTTTTCAGAGTGTCTGCTTTGACTCCGAGGTCTTTGATCTATTTGGAGTTGATTCTGGTGCAGAGTGATATATAAGGATCTAGCTTTAGTTTTCTACAAGTTGTTAACCAATTTTGCCAGCACCATTTACTGAAGTGGTTGTCTTTCTTCCATTCTATTTTTTTAGCTCCCTTATCGAAGATTAGATGGCTATAGGTCTGTAGGTTCATTTCTGAGCTTTCAATTCTATGCCATTGGTCCTGAGGTCTGTTCTTGTGCCAGTACCAAGCTGTTTTGATTACTATGGCTTTATAGTAGAGTTTGAAATTTGGTATTGATATTCCTCCAGCACTGTTCTTTCTGTTGAGGATCGTTTTTGCTATTCGGGGTATTTTATTGTTCCATATGAATTTTTGGATTGCCTCTTCTATTTCCTTGAAGAATGAGGTTGGAATTTTGATGGGTATCGCATTGAATTTGTAGATAGCCTTGGGAAGTATTGCCATATGGTATATATACACAATGGAATTCTATGCCTCCATCAGAAAGAATGACATTGCCCCATTTGTTAGGAAATGGAAAGGCTTGGAAAAAATTATATTAAGTGAAGTAAGCCAGGCCCAAAGAAACATAGGTCCCATGGTTTCCCTTATTTGCAATATCTAGTGTATGTCTTAGTCAAGCAGAAAAGGTCAGATAAGTTGATGTTAGGGAAATGAACCCTAAGATATGTATTCAAATGTTTTTTTTCTTTCATGTGATTGTTTCTAACACATTTATAAGATTATTTCTTTGTTGCTTTGTATGTCCCTCCCCGACAGTAAAACTCCTGCTTTCACTGTATTTGATGTCGGTATAATTTGTGGAGGGGAAGGGGAAAAACAAATTGTTTAAATAGGAATCCAGGTGGACCCATTGCAACAATGAGATGTACAAGTCATTATGTCGAAAACGAACTTTACAACTTTCGTGCAGGGCTGAGGGCGTGGGGGGAGGGCGGGGAGGATTTGGTGGGGGGTAGGGAAGGGGGGAGGATGGGAAGGGATGGGAAGAGGAAACAAAGGAGGAGGCTACAATGCTTGATAAGAAATGTACTCATTATCTTGCCCATGTAATTGTAACTCCTCTGTACAGTATTTTCACAATAAAAAAATTACAAAGGCAATATAAACAGATTGTTTACTTTTAATGTAGGCTTCCCAAATGATAACATCTTGTGTATCCATAGTGAAATGGTAAAACCTTGGAAGTCACTGTTGATGGAGAACTAGTCACTAATCTATAAATTGATTACCATTTCAACAGTTATCCATATCCCCTATGGGGACAGTCTTAGTCCTTAAGTCCTATGATTTTCTCACTGATTAAGAAAGTCATATTAGATAGCATTAATGCATAGTCTATGCTGGGTGCCATATACATAGAATGCTTTCAGTAATAATAGCTGCTTTGGGGAGGAAATAAGTACAAAATTCCTTAGGAGGAATGCAAGGTGACTGGATCCTTACGTTTGTATTTGTTAGCCTGGCTGACCTTGACGTCTTCATAAAAAGTAGTGAGAAAGGCTTGCTCACAAAAGTCAAACAAGGAGATTTCCAAGGATTGGTTGACATCATGGGCCACCTTATGGCCCTTAAAGAAAGGCAGAACAGCACTGATGATATGTTTGAGCCCTTAAAGCAAACTATTGAATTGCTGAAGAACTATGAACAAGAATTACCAGAAGCTGTGTTTAAGCAGCTAGAGGTCAGTACACTTGTGTATTCTGTACAAAATATGTAGAAGGAGAGCTTTAGCCTTTCTGAGTGGAGTGAGGTGGGTTGCAGGAAATAGAAAAAAGGACCTGATGGAGATACACATCCAGGTTTTGGAACTACAGTGTGTGGTGCATGGATAACATCAAGTATTTTCTGGAAACTCAATAAAGGAAGAAAAAAGGAATGCTGGGGATATATAGAACCAATAAAGATGAAAATATTTTTTTCCCCAAGAACCAGAAATAAGATAGCACTTGGATTTGAGGGAACAATGTGGCCAGAGTGATATAAAGATAATCTGAAAGCACAGAAGGGACAACAAAGAATAAAATAACAAAGTGGTCCTACAGAGTATAGAAAACAGGAAGGGCTAATGGGTTATAAGTTAAAGGCAAGAGTAAGGTTAGTGTTGAGTTAGAAGTAGGTGGGATTGGAAAGAACAGGCATCCAGAGAGATAAATTGAGGAAGAGTTTGGGGATGATGTTGAGAATGATCAAATAACCCTGGCACATTCTAGTATGATTTTACAGTGTAGATGAAGGCAGCTAGATGATACCCAGCCTCCTGGTCTGGGAGAAGGGGAGCCCTGTGGGTGTGATGACACCGAAGTCTCCTTTGCAGGAGCTGCCGGAGAAATGGACCAATGTGAAAAAGATGGCCATCACTGTGAGGCAGCAGGTGGCCCCGCTGCAGGCTAATGAAGTGACCCTCCTCCGCCAGAGGTGCACTGCCTTCGATGTGGAGCAGTATCAATTCCAGGAGAGGTTCCACAGAGATGCCCCCTTCAGGTATGGCCCCTAGGTAGCCATAAATGGCAATCACTGAGGGTCTTTTGGTTGAATTCTCTACTGTATTCTTTGAGCAGTGGAAGACTGTCTCAAAGTCTTCTCTTCTGTGTAGTTCCTTGGTTTAGAGCATGGTGCTAATAATGCATCCAATTATGACTTACGTGAGATGATGAAAGATTGTACAAAATGCCTTGTCTTTAAAGAAATGTTTACGAGTTGCTTTGGTTTCCAAGTTTGTGAGAAGATTTTATGTGGCAGAATGCTAGGATTTTTCTAAACCTTTAGCATTTTGAGTTCTCACAGCCTTCTTCCCTTTTGGCTGAAAGTAGTCAGTAACATTTTTTTGTTTTTTTAGTCATGCTGGGAGGTATTTTGGTAGCTTAAAGCAAGCATTGAAGTGAAGGTTTACTGAGGGGGGAGGGGCTTTCTCTGGGCTTGGTAATCAATCATCAGACACTTCTCTACTGGGTCTTGTAAGTCTTTTCATAAAAAAAGCAAGAAAAAATTACTCACATGGCTCCAACTCCTGCACACGGGGTTTCACTCCCAGAGGTTTCCAGTGGGGCAAAGGGAAAGGTAGAGAAGTCTGGCAGGCCTCTGCCTCCAGCACTGCCTAGATCCAGGGCTCCATGCAGGAGAACAAGCTGGTTCTGAATGGCTGGGTTTCCTCCCCTCCCTCCAGCCACTCTAGTCTGTATTCTGCTTCCCAGAACTGAGTTTTCTTCATGTGATCCCTCTATAGTTTGAGACAGACAGATGTAGATCTCCCCAAATGTAGAATGTTCTATGTAAGGGATGAAGTGCTCTTATATTCTCAAAGTCATAAGAAGTAGTAAAACAAACAAAAACACATGCAAATTTGTTGTGAGGACTAAGTACATGGATAATAGGTTGAGGCTGCCTGCATCTCACTTCAAATCTAGTATGTATGCCTAGTTTACAATGTGTTACTTATATAGATAATCACATTTACCTCATTGATTGTAAAAAGGATTTGAGAGAATTATTTAGCACTATGCTTGGTAAAATGTTGAGCCACCATCCAGTAGATTGTTCTGGACTGTACCACTGAAAGCCTCATGTTCACACATGCTTCTCTATTCCTTCCAGCACCCTGGAATGACTAGTCTTCCAACCTGGCACACATCCATGGCCTATTCTTTTTATTTTTTATGATTTATTTTAATTGACAGATAATAATTGCTCATCTTTGTGGGGTATGGTATGATATTGTGGTACTTTTATGCTTTGTGAAATGATCAACAGAGGATATTGAAGTTATCCATCATCCCAAACATTTATCATCCCTTTATGATAAAAAACGCAAAATCCTCTCTTTGAGCTTGTTTAAATTATATTTTACAATATTGTTACCCACAAATCACCTTTCTGTGTAGCAAGACACCAAGCTGTATTCTATCTATCTAGCTGTGATTTTGAATGTGATAACTAATCTCTCCCTACTCCCTCCCTCTTTTACCCTCTGTAAGGGTCTACTCTTGTCATTCACTCAACAGTTTCTATCTTCTAAGCTTCTGAACATTATCTTTGTATCTATCAAAGAACAAATGAGTATGTAAAAAGGCAAGGAAGGAAAGGTATATAAAATATATATAAAATATAATATATGGGCCTGGTACCAGTGGCTCACACCTGTAATCCTAGCTGCTCAGGAAGCTGAGATCTGAGAACTGCAATTCAAAGCCAGCCTGGGCAGAAAAGACCATGAGACGCTTATCTCCAATTAACCACCAGAAAACCAGAAGTGGCACTGTGGCTCAAGCGGTAGAGCACTTGCCTTGAACTGAAGAGCTAAGGGACTGTGCCCAGGAGAGTTCAAGCCCCACGATGACGATGAAAAAGAAAAAGAAAAAGAAAAAAAATGAATGAATGAATGAATAAAGAAATAAATAATCATGTGCCAGGCCCTGGTGGCTCATACTTGTAATTCTAACTACTTAGGAGGCTGAGATCTAAGGTTTATAGTTTAAAGCCTGCTTGGGCAGGAAAGTCTGTGAGATTCTTATCTCCAATTAATTACCAAAAGTCCAGAAATGGAGTTGTGGTTCAAGTACCAGTTGAGCAAAAGAAGCTCAGGGACAGTACCAGGCTCTGAGTTCAAGTCCCTCAGAGCCAGCAATAAATATTTGTAAAGCATAAACAGGGTGTCACCACTTGCTTGCACATTAGAATCACCTAGAGGAGCATTTAAACCTTCCAATATTTTGCCTGTCCTGAAGATTAACTATCTCTGGAGACTCTTGCATGAATATTGTATGAAGCTTCCCAACTGATTCTACATGCAGCTAAGTTTGAAAACCTCTATCCTACTGCCCTAAAGGACAATAACTAGTTTCCTCTTAAGCAATTGTCCAAGACATAGAACTCCAAAGGAAATGATCACCTTAGGAGCCATGGCCTCATTCCAGTAGAACAACTGTTGCTCAAAAACATTTGTATGCCTCCCTTGGGAATTATTCCTTTAGAGTCTAGAGATTATCCTTTTTACTCTCCTTTGGTCATGCAATTGAATTTTCAAAATTGAATGCTGATCATGCAGAGCCAACACTAATGAGGGAGGTGGTCTCTCAAACTGCTGTGTTAATCACAACTACATCAATAACAGCAGCCATAAAAAATTATCTTAGTGGCTGACAGCATCAGCTGTCTCAAAAATTTTCAAAAGAATTCTACAGATGCTAGAAGAAATGTCTTCATGGAGAGACTTTTGAGACTGCATGAAAGGGATCAACATCGGTACATTTTTTTGTGTGTCTGTTAAGAACCTGATCTCTTGTCATTTTTGTATGTGTATCAATCAGCTGTTATTTTACTTTTATCTGATAGCTGCATTCATTTTTTTCTTAGCCCTTGTATCTGCTGGCTGTGAGGATATTGCTACTCTTAGCTGGGTTTTCCAAATTCACATCTGTTAATTTGACATGCAGATGAATCATTGGAAGAGAATGCTTTGAAAAGAACTGCTCACAGCAGTGGGGGAAACCAATGTACTGTAATTTTGATATATTTCTTTTCTTGTCATGAAAACCATCAGGATTAGAGCAGAATCATGAATTTATTCCTAAAGGGAATCTTAAAGGATGGCAACTCATGCATTTTTGTTTTGTTCTCTTTTTTACTGTGTGTGGGAGATGTGTGTGTGTGTGTGTGTGTGTGTGTGTGTGTGTATGTGAGAGAGAGAGAAAGACAGAGAGATAGAATGTTTAAAATTTGTAGCTGCTGAGTATGTGCTAGATCTTTCACTTTTAGATCATTTAGGAATTTCTAAATTGCAAACCCTGAAGCATCTCCCTGTGAATAAAATTTCTGCTCCTGATTAGATCTCACAGATTAAGCTCTTCTAATGATCTTCTCTTGGAAGAAGGAAAAGAAAATGAGTGTTTCATTAAGCTCTTACTGTCTGACAGGTACTATGTGAAATCAGGTCTTTTGGATTCAGGTTCCCTGGATTCAGGTTCCCTCTTCATGTCCAAGTCAAACTTTTCTTCCTCCGTTAGTCCTTAACTCTCAGTTCTCAAAATAGTTCTGGCTGAGTTAGCACACTTCATAATAATTGGCCGAACTATCACACCCATGTTTAAGGACCTTCTACAACTCTTAAAATTGGTGACTAATTTCCCTCCCTGAGTGATAGGAATGTTCCACACTGCTGGCAGCTATCTCCTTGTTCAGTCTTTGACCTTGAGGACCATCTTCCTGACCCTAAGGAATGGTTCCAGAATCAGTACTTCTCTTACCCACACTAAGACCAAGTAAATCCAGGTATTTCTTATTGAAAACAATCTGTCCCTCCAACATCTAGCTCAATGGAGATCATGAGTATTTTCACTTGAGTCAGACTCCATGAACAGATGTGAAAGACTTCTTGAAGAATCCTCTATGAGGAGCTGTTCTATGACAACTGATAAAGCAAGGCCTTCCATGTGACTCACTGCAGCAGATATAAGAGAAAAAAAGGACTTTGGTCTTGTTTGCATAGTGTCTATTTTCTCTTTAAAATCTGGAGGAAAAAAGAAATAGTAGGATTCCTCCTTAAGCCTTCCAGATACATATTAATAACCTATATTAAGCCACTCCTTCAGGTTGGTCCTGATCTTCCAGTTCACCTGATTCATTCACATGATTTTGCTTCTATAAGGCAAATTTGGCTGTGGTTTTTACAATGGAATTAATAAAAAAAAACCACACAACAACAAAAACTAAGGATGTGGGTGCTAGGATTCTCTCTGACTTCAAGAACTTACTATAGCCTCACAGACTATTTCAGAATTGAATAATAAGAATGCACCAAGTGCCATCATTAGCTGAGCCAGCTCATGTATCCTGGGAGAAGATGGTACTTGAGTCGATGGCAAATAAGACCTTTTTGGGATTAAGAAGAATTTTCTTTAAAAGAAGAGAACATTAAGAATGGCAAGCAAGGAGATTCTGGGCAAAGTAAACAACACATAGGAAAAGCCACAAATCTGAGAACGCAAGAAACAGCTACAGAACTACAGGCACGCACAGCTGGAATGGAGAAGCATGTGAGGGAAATAGAGAGGTCCAAGGGGCCCAGTTTGACAATGGTCAACCACTAAGAGTGGGAAGAGTACATGCGTGTTCCCTGCCTCACAATGGGGTTCCATCCTGATGTCTGCTATAAATTGAAACTATCATGTCAAAAAATGCATTTAATGGTTATAACCTACCATAACTCAGCATCACAGCATGATGGGGAAGGAACATTGGTTGTTTCTCCTTATGATTCCCATGCGTGGTTTTCTAGGCCCACTGCCCAGCACCGTAGAGAGTATCAAACTGCATGTCTTTTGCTTGCCTGAGATAAAAATCAAAACTCACATTTTTAAATACAGGTTCTATGCTTTGGCACCATCATCAGGCCAGAAACCCCAAAATTAAACTCTCATAAGTTGGGGACCAATCTATGATATAAATCCCACGATAATAATGGAATGAGACAGACTCCACACCAGGACTCAACCAGAAGAGCCCTGGTGCAACCTAGCAACACAGTGGCATAGATAATGGAGAAAACAGCAACTTTGAGAGAGATAATAAGCAGGACTGACTGAAGATGAGAGATGAGCAAGGATAGTCTTGGGTGATTTCCCATCTTCCAGCTTAGACAAATAAATAGATATCATCGTCCCACTGTGCCCCGAGACAGAAATAGGACATGAAGGACTGGCAGTCACAAGTTCAAGGTCGGACACACTGTCACATTCCTGTGGGTGTCCTGCTGAGATGTGCCATGCTTCATCCTGTATACAGCTATGGGACTGGGGTTAACATTTACCCCTGGCTAGCTTCCCAAGAACCAATAAAAATCTTTTACTCTTCTCTCTCTCCCAATGCTCATGTTTGAGTGAAGTTTGAATCAATCATTTTCGCCACAATCGTGCACATGAGCACTATATTTCCATTTCTCTTAATTAAAGTGTTATTCATGCTGACTTCCCAGACAACTCATTCATATTAAAATACTCTGCATTATTATTTCAATTCTAAACACTCATTACACCCTGTTTCCCTCCTATGGCTTTCTGGTTTAGACCTGTACTATCATTCCCCCCTGCATTTGGAGAACTGCTTCATATTTTATTAGGCACATCATGAAATAGGTTTATGAGCATTATGGCAAGGTTTTCCTACAATTATGTTTTCATTCCGGTAGTTGGTTGCTTCTTGGACTTGGTCTTACTGGGTATGAACTCTTGAATTCTTAATTCTTCTTCCTTAACCCCCCAAATGCTAGGTTTATACAAGTGTGGGTTCATAACCACCACTCATGATAATAGAGCTACATGCTCTCATGGCTAGAGGTTCCCTCACAGAATAGACCAAACTAGTTTTAAGGCATGCTTAGATCTAGGAAATGACTATCCACACATTTAAAACAAACAAAAACTATAGCACAGAGTGAGGAAAGTTGGGAATAGGCTTGGCAAATGCTCACCTTCTACAAATATTTAAAGAACCAACATTAGTTTAAGAGCATTCGTATGTGGTAAGGAAAGAATGGTTAGTTCGAATTTATTATCTTCTGTGTGTACCCTTCAAATAATTTAATAGCTCAGATCTTATCTAATCAGTCATTCCAGAGTGACACTCCATTCATAAATTATACAGGATGTGAGCATTATGAATTTGTCTAAATTTTACAGATCTTATAATTGTACTAACAACTGAGGGACTGTGTCTCTCTGCACCAATAGTCTGCAAATGAAAAATAGAAGAATCACTCATGTTTGGTTGGGGACCCTTCTTAGATGCTCAGCCACCAGTTCTGTCTAGTACCCACTTCCCACTCCTCCAACAGGAACAACCTCTTCACCAACATACAGTATGTTTTCTTCACCTCAAAACTGGTGCACTATTCTGAAATACCTAGGAGCTGAAAATCAGCACTGACATGTGGTCACTCTCTTGAGATGTAGATCTACAATCATAGCCCACAAGCCCAAAATAATCTAGATGGAACAAACAGGAATCAAACACCATAAGCATCAAAGTTAGTCTGACACAAATTTAATAATATGCACAACTGTTCTTAGGTTGCATGGTAATTAGGACTAAGTGGTAAGCAATTCAGGTAAAAGACTCTTATTAGGATTACTTTCTTACTGAAAAGTCAAATATTTCTAAAGACAATTGAAAAAAGGGGCAGGAGTTTATAAGTCATTTTCTTCCTTCTTCCCTACCCTCTTTATCTTATCAACAGACACTGGCACAGATACATGACACGCACATATGGAAATGAACACACTGTAGTGAGAAAGAAAGAGCCAATCCTCCAGTCATTCATTTCCTCTCAACTTTCCCTTGGATGAGGAACCCCATGATACGTTGGCTCAGGTTGTAGAAGAACATACTATCCTCCCTTAAGTCATGGTATCCCCAATATCTGGCCCTCTATGTACGCAGAGACAAGGAAACCTGAGCTTGGGAATGGGGAGGAGAATAAAGGGAGATCAGGAAGAAAGTCAGACCTTCTTTGAAACTTGGATCCTAAGTGCCCCTCAGCAAGGAACTGATACCTGGCCACGTGAGCTGCTTTGCATGGGGGCTTCTTGAGTTGGGAGAAAGTCTATATCAGGAATACATGTCTTGTGAAGGATAAGGTAAAGTATGAACATTTACAAGTTCAGGAGTCCTCTTCAAATGGATGTGCACCTTAGGCATAGAAAGCAAAGGAATGCAGAAAGGAACTAAAGCTGTAAATCTAGATATAGAACATAGCCGACTGAAGTACAGAACTAGATGCAGAATTAAGACGGAGGCCACAACTGGTCAGCAAAGGGTGTAAGTTGACAGATGGAGTAGATGCAGGACAGTTTTGGTGGAGGGAATTAAGGAGATGGTGGATGGAGGTACTCTGGGCCCTGGAAGGACTTTGTACTTCTCTCCATGACCACCAATTTTCCTTCTCCGAGTTGAGGCACCATCACCTAACTGAGGCTGATACAGGACACTAGTGTGCACTTCCCCATGAACAACACCACTCTGGCATGTCAGAACCAGCAGGAAAGTTTGAAAAATACTATTTCTGGATCCCGTCCCCAATGAATCTGACTTAGGTAGTGAAGCAGATTGGGCCTAGGAAATCTTTGAAAGCTCCCAGAAGATCCTCACATCACAACCAAGACTGAGAGTCGTGGCCTAAAAGGAGAGGTACCAGAGCAGGCCAGGTTTAGCCACTTAGTACAAGTTCTCTCTCTCTCAAAGACATCTGGCAGGAGCTTTGGCTTTCCAGCTTCTACAAGAAAATGACAATGCTGTTTTTGTGTCAAGTGGTCCTGCAGAGGCCAATGGCCAAGTGAAGAATAGAATCAGTGGGGGAAGGGGCTCAGTAACTCTTTAGACCTAGGGAAGTGGAAGACAAAATGAATAGTTTTATTACTCCCTCATATTTGAAAGTTCCAAGTATGATATTCCTCTTGCATTGCTCTTTCTCCAATGCTAACCCCACTCCCACTATTCTCGCATACCTTTCCTTCCCAGGATTAGCAACAATGGTGAAAGTCACTGCTATTTCCTGGAATACTAAGCATATAGAAATTTTTGCCAGCCATTACCTTGGCAACTCTAGTACTGGAGCCCTGTGCATCACACTAACCAAGGAAACATGTCATGTTTTGTAGGTTTGACAGCATCAACCCTCATCAGATGCTGGATGTCTGGCACTTGGAGATCCAACACATGGAATCCACCATGGCCTCCATTTCTGAGTCTGCCAGCTTGTTTGAGGTCAGTGTTCCCGACTACAAGCAGCTGAAGCAGTGCAGGAAGGAGGTGTGCCAGCTGAAGGAGCTCTGGGACACCATCGGAATGGTCACCTCTAGTATCCATGCTTGGGAGAGGATGCTGTGGAGGGATATCAACGTGGAAATCATGGATGTGGAGTGTAAACGGTTTGCCCGGCACATCCGCAACCTTGACAAAGAGGTGAGAGGTTGGGATGCCTTCTCAGGTCTGGAAAGCACCGTACTGAACACGCTCACCTCCCTGAGGGCAGTGGCTGAGTTGCAGAACCCAGCCATCCGAGAGCGGCACTGGAGGCAGCTGATGCAGGCCACAGGCGTGAGCTTCACCATGGACCATGACACCACCTTGGCCCACCTCTTGCAGCTCCAGCTGCACCGCTTCGAAGATGAGGTCCGTAGCATCGTGGACAGAGCGGTGAAAGAGATGGGTATGGAGAAGACCTTAAAGGAGCTGCAGGCTACCTGGGCGGGCATGGAATTCCAGTATGAGCCCCACCTGCGGACCAATGTCCCCTTGCTGCGGTCTGACGAGGACCTCATTGAGGTTCTAGAGGACAATCAAGTCCAACTCCAGAACTTGATGATGTCCAAGTACATTGCTTTCTTCTTGGAGGAAGTGTCAAGCTGGCAGAAGAAGCTGTCCACAGCAGATGCAGTCATCTCTATCTGGTTTGAGGTGCAGCAAACCTGGTCTCACCTGGAAAGTATATTCATAGGATCCGAAGATATCCGGGCTCAGCTACCCCAGGTAACTTTACTAAAGGAATCCTGTCATTTTTCTAATCTGGGCTGAGGGAAGATCACCTCAGACCTTCCTTTTCTGCCTCCCTGCTTTGGCTTTTCTTCAGAGCAGGTCCACACAACACTAACTTGCCCCACCATTCAAAGGCCAGAGGAAAAACCAGGAGATGAAATGCTCACCAATCAGTCTGCCTTTAGCTGAGCTGATGAAAGAAAAGATGTGATCTGATCTTTTGTTTCACTTTCTTTCTTTTTATGTGATATTTCATTAAGAGTTTCAATTCAACATGTCATTTTATGAATACAATACATCTTGATCAATGTCACCTCTTCCACCATTCCCTCACATCTATACCAACACAGTCTGCTCATCAGGTTCACATATGTACATTTAATATTATGACTGTATTCATCCACACTTAATTTCTCCATTTGTCTGCCCTCCTTTCCCTTGACCTAACTCCCTTCCCAACAAACAACATATGTTTCAGCTTCCTGCTAGTTATTTTGCTAAACTACAAATTAGTTGTCCAAAGGAGTTGCACCATTATAATCCTCCCTTGTGTATATAATACACATATAATATGTATACATAATATATCTGTGTATATAATACACATATATTACACACATATGTATACATATGATCCTGTATATATTTTTGTTTATAATTTAGATCTAGCTTCCACAAATGAGAGAAAACCTGTGTTTAGTATATGAGATATCTGTCTGTCTGCCTGCCTGTCTACCTCTCCTGTGTTTGATATATATCTGTCTGTCTGCCTGTCTATCTATCTATGTGTCTTTGTCCATTCTTCCATTGAGGGGCATCTGAGTTCTTTCCATAACTTCGCTATGGTGAATAGTGCAGCAATGAACATGGATGTGCAAGCATCTTTCCTGATTTGTAATCTTTTGGATAAATGCTCAAGAGTGATATCACTGGAGAGTAAGGTAGTTCTATATTTTTTTGAGGAAACTCCAAACAGCCTTCTATAGTGGTTGCAACAGTTTATATTCATACAAAAATGTGCAATAGGGATTTCGTTTATCCCTGCCAGCATTTGCTCTTATCTATATATTTTTTCCTTAATAGATAAATAATTCATTAATCTTTACTTTGTTAATCTATGAGATTTATCTTTCCTGTAGTCACCCTGCTGGGTGACTTTGAATATCTATCATGTTTATTTTATTTTCTAAATATATTTATATATTTAAAATTGTTCTTGTAAAGATGATACACAGAGGCATTGCAGTTACATATGTCAGGTAATGAGTACATTTCTTTTTTTTTATTGTGAAAATACTGAACAGAGGGGTTACAATTACATGGGCAAGATAGTGAGTACATTTCTTATCAAGCATTGTAGCCTCCTCCTTCAAAAAAAAAAAAAAGAATCTCACAGACTTTCTGGCCTGGGCAGGCTTCAAATAATGAGCCCCAGATCTCAGCCTCTTGAGTTGTTAGTATTATAGGCATAAGCTACCAGTACCATCTATAAGGAGATTAAAAAATCTAAATTAATAGAATACATGTGTGATAAAAAGAAAAAGATTTAGCATTTCTTTTGAGGAACCTCCATACTACTTTCCAAAGTCGTTGAACAAGTTTACACTCCCACCAACAATGCAGTAAGGTTCCTTTCTGTCCACATCCCCTCCAGCATCTGCTGTTATTAGAGTTATTTTTTTAGCCATTGCAATCTTTTTCATTATTATTATTGTGAAAATACCATACAGAGGGGCATTGTTACCCCTTTTTTGTTTTTTCCCTACCATCCCTTCCCTGCTCACCTCCCCAGCTTCTCCCTACCCACCCCCTCCCCCAAGTTCAGGCCCACGACCAACAAAAAAAATCATACAGTACATTATCACAAAGTACATTAAAAACAACAGCAAACCTCTTGTGTCCCTATCTTGGGTTTCATTTTGTTTAGCACATCTTATATGGTCATATGTACATAGCTTTTGACCTTTCTGCTTGTCCTAGACTTATACTAGTTATTACAAATAAGGGAAAACAAGGGACCTATGTTTCTTTGGGCCTGGCTTACTTCATTTAATATGATTTTTTTCACATCTTTCCATTTCCTCACAAATGGGGCAATGTCATTCATTCTGATGGAGGCATAGAATTCATATATATATATGAATTATATATATATATATATCACATTTTCTTGATCCATTCATATACTGAGGGGAATCTGGGTTGGTTCCATATCTTAGCTATGGTGAATTATACTGCAATAAACATAGTTGTGCTGGTAGCTTTAATATGACCTTGTTTGTGATCCTTTGGGTAAATGCCCAAAAGTGGGATTGTTGGGCCATAGGGGAGCTCTATGTGTAGTCACTTCCATACTGCTTTCCAAAGTGGTTGAACAAGTTTACATTCCTACCAACAATGCAGTAGGGATCACTTTTGGCCACAACCTCTCCAGCATCTATTGTTATTAGATTTTTTGATTATAACCATTCTAACTGGGATGAGGTGGAATCTCAATGTTGTTTTGAGATGCATTTATTTTATGGCTAGGGAAGTTGAACATTTCTTCATGTGTTTATTGGCCATTCTTATTTCCTTTTCAGAGAAGTCTCTCTTTAAGTCTTTAGTCCACTTATTAATTGGATGGTTGCTGCTTTGAAGATTTGTTGTAGGGATGTTTAATTTTTTGAGTTCTAAGTATATTTTAGATATGAGACCCTTGTCCATTGTATGGCTAGTGAAGATCTTCTCCCAATCCATGTGCTTTCTATTGATCTTGCTAGCTATGCCCTTTACCATGCAGAAACTCTGCAGTTTCATGCAATCCCATTTGTCTAACTTTTCTTTGATTTGTTGTGTTTTGGGGTCGTTATTAAGAAAATTTCAGCCACTGCCAACGAGCCCTAGAGTTTCTCCTATTCTTTCCTGTAATGTTTTCAGGGTGTCTGCTTTGACTTCAAGGACTTTGACCCATTTGGGGTTGATTCTTGTGCAGGGTGATATAGAATGATCTAGCTTTAGTTTTTTACAGGTGTTTAACCAATTTTGCCAACATCATTTACTGAAGAGACTGTCTTCCTTTCATTCTATTTTTTTTTTTTTGCTCCCTTATAAAGCATTAGGTGGCTATAGGTCTGTGGTTCATTTCTAGGTCTTCAGTTCTATTCCATTGGTCCTCGGGTCTGTTCTTGTGCCAGTATCAAGCTGTTTTGCTTACTATAGCTTTGTAGTAGAGTTTGAAATTTGGTATTGATATTCCTCTAGCACTGTTCTTTCTGCTAAGGATGTTTTTTGCTATTTGGGGTCTTTTATTGTTCCATATGAATTTTGGGTTGCTTCTTCCATTTGATAGGTATTGCATTGAATTTGTAGATAGCTTTTGGAAGTATTGCCATTTTTGTGATGTTAATCCTCCCAATCCAGGAACATGGGAGGTTTATCCACTTCCTTAGTTCTGCTTTAATTTTCTTTTTCAGGATTTTAAAGTTTTCATCATAGAGGTCCTTCACTTCTTTAGTTAATTTAACTCCTAGGTATTTTATTTTTTTGCAGGGTATTACAAAAGTTGTTGCTTTCCTGATTTCAGCCGCGTTCTTCTCATTACTTTTTCTCTTTTCTTTCTTTTTCTTTTCTTTCTTTCTTTCTTTTTTTTTGTCAGTTGTGGGGCCTGAACTCTGAGCCTGGGTGCTGTACCTCAGCTCTTCTGCTCAACGTTAGCACTCTACCATTTGAGCCACAGGGACACTTCTGGCTTTTTCTGCTTATGTGGTGCTGAGGAATCGAACCCAGGGCCTCGTGCATGCAAAGCAAGCACTCTACCACTGAGCCATCTTCCCAGACCCTCTCCTTTTTCTTAAATAAATAAATATTATTGTAAAGACACTGTACAGAGGGGTTAAAGTTCTTTGAGTGATGTAATGCATCCTTTGTTATCATCTTCTTGTTATTGGCATACAGAAAAGCCATTGATTTTTTAGGGTTAATTGTATACTCTGCTACTTTGCCAAAGTTTTGGATCAGCTCGAGTAACTTGGGAGTGGAATCCTTGGGGTGCTTTAAATACAAGATCATGTCATCTGCAAAGAGGGAGAGTTTTAGTTCATCTTTCCCCATTTGGATCCCCTTTATGTTTGCATCTTGTCCTATTGCCATAGCTACGCATTCTAATCCTTTTAGAGGAGTGGAGAGAGTGGACATCCTTGTTGTGTTCCTGAATTTAGAGAAAATGGCTCTAGGTTTTTGCCATTAAGTATAATGCTGGCTATAGTTTTGTTACACACAGCCTTTATTATATTGATGAATGTTCCATGGATTCCTAGTTTTCCTAGAGCTTTCATCATAAAGGGTGTTGAATCTTGTCAAATGTTTTTTCTGCATCTATTGAGATAATCATGTGGTTCTTATCCTTGCTCTTGTAAATGTAATGAATTATTTTGATTGATTTGTATATATTGAACCAGATTTGCATCGCTGAAATGATTCCTGTTTGATCATGGTGTATGATTTTTTTTGATGAGTTGTTGAAGTTGATTAGCAAAAGTTTTGTTGAGAAGTTTTGCATCTATGTTCATCAAAGAAATGAGTCTATAGTTCTCTTTCTTTGATGAGTCCCTGCCTGGTTTTGGGATGAGGGTTTGATGGCTTCATAGAAAGTTTGGTAGTGAACTTTCACTTTCAATTTAATTGAGAAGTTGGAGGAGTATTGGTGTGAGTTCTGCTTTGAAGGCCTTGTAGAATTCCACTGTAAATCCATCTGAGCCTGGGCTTTTCTTGGATGGGAGGTCTCTTTTGCTATTTCTATTTTGATGCTTGATATGGGTTTGTTAAGTTGGTTTAAATCATCTTGGTTTAGTTTAGGCATGTCAACATTTGCTAGAAATTGTTTCATTTCTTCCAGATTTTCAAACTCATTAGCATAAAGTTTTCAGAAGTTTTCCTTTATAATGTTCTGAATCTTGGTTGTTTCTGTGGTGATGTTTCCATTTTAAACTCTGAGTTTGTTTATTTGGGTGTGT